TTCTTTTTCTCATTAAAATCATTTTTAGGGTGCTATTGGAGGTAATAGAAGACTTTTGAGTTGATTAGTAACTCGATTAAGATAACCAACATTTTAGATCAGAGATTGAACACAATTTCTACTACAGGGCACCCGAAGTTTTGGGCGCTCGACTAAGCACCCGCCTGGGCGTTGGGCGCCAGGCTGGCCGCCTAGCGTTTTTTGAAACCTTGATCACTCGATGACAGTCAACATACAACCCTACTCTCTTTATGAAAGCTTTAGATCTTTGTACTTTCCTCTTTCTAATGGAGAATCAAGCTCCTCCTCCTTGCCTCACACAAACTCTACGACTCAAAGTGAGGAGACTCGCACGAACCTTTCAAAGGAGAGCCCCTTTAATGGAGCTAAAGATCCCCTTAGTAGAAGGTTAAGGACAGAGCTCATGATTGGCTGAGCCCATGTGATTATAAAGGTATTAAGTTCTCGATGGACGTGCCAACATGGGCTTTTCAAAGGTCTTGGCATTCCATTGGCTCACCTTTTATTTTTTGACGCCTTGATTAGTTTCCCGCTTTAGGGCGCCCTTGATTTCATGTACAAAAGTGGTAAGGAAACATGCTTTCTCAACAAAAAATATGTATCTTACCTCTTGGACAATGAATATGCCCTAAAGACAAAAGAATCTCTCTCTCTCTCTCGATCTCGACCGTGTAAGCTTGCAAGTCTTGTACTAAGATAATGTTTCTCTTTTCATGTAGTAGAGCTCCCTTAGGGAGTGCATCATTGGCAACATAGGCTATCAAAAGAAGTCCTGTTTACAGGGTTCGAAATGACATTGCACCAAAGAAATGAATGCACCCTTCTTTTGGAATGTGGATTCCACAGTGAGTGGTTAGGGGGAGGGTGGGGACCCAAGAAAAATGTGTGCACTACTCTTTTCCTCACCATTTCATGAAGTAAATTTCCAGTAACTTCATCTTAATCAGAGATCCAGTACTTCTACAACTTCCGTGAGAAGATTGCAGATATTCCAGAACTCATCAAAATTTTCCTGATCATTCTAGCTATAACAAAAATAAAATAATCTGCATTCTTGGATTTCTCTCTTAAATGATTTTAAATGCTAAGACAACATTTGTATCATCATAATTAACAAGCATACAAATTATCTTAACCTACTTTCAATCATCATTTGTAATTCGAATCCCACAACTCTAGTAGGTCAAATATATATTTAAGCAACAGATAGTTTTCCATAATTACTACACCATTGTTCTAAAGTGCATAAATGCTCTGCATTTCTATATGACAATCCTGGTTGCACCACAGAGATTAGAGGGCATGGCCTACTAAGAAGGTTTATAATGTTTCTTGCACCAATCGTATCTACCGTTCAAACACGAGGGAGATGATGGCATTCCAACCAAAGTTTAGTGACTGCATAGAGCAGTTGAAAATGACATGCATAACAGGGAGTGAAGAAGACGAAGTGCAAGTCCATGGTTCATCCTTTCTTGCTATAGTCCAAGGAGGAAGGCAAGAGAACCCAAACCCCCCAAATTAGCAAAACATCACATGACATGCATCCAAATAGGTGGCAGTCATCACCTGATATCATAATCATTATCACCCCTTTCATCATCTTGAGTGAGTGCAAAGAAATTCCTTTGCAGCATCTTTATTTTTTGTCATCCTCATCATAAAGAGAGAATATGGAGTGATGGGCGAGGACAATTCCAATTTCAAACTTCAAAATAACAATTATGACTGGGATGGCCCATGCAAGCACGCAAGCGAGCACAGTTCCTGGGTTATGTTGACACCATGTAACCTGGACGCAAAAAGTCAGTATCTGCACTATGTTGGTGGGCACCTCAAACCATGATAGATGGGCATATGCGGGCCAGCACAAATGCAAGACCACTGATAGAACATGTCGACGGTCAGTGCAGAATGAAGCTCTACCCATTGAATCTTTCTCGGTCAATCAAAAGGGAGCTAGACACAGCTTTGCCAATAGTACCTTAACTAGGACGCAGTAATCTCACTTTCCACGCCTCACTTTTCCACTCAAAGCCCGTCCGTGCATTGATACGGTAGAAAAGGCCATAACCAAATCCCACTTATTTTGCTGAAGACCACATGTTGTACATTCCATCACTACATGGCATTTTAATTGGTCAACACACTTCAGCTGACAGCCGCTGGGTGACAAATTCCAATAGAAAAGCCTTTCTCTCTCTAGCACCCAGTGATGAAGCATTTTATCTTGAAAGGAAAAACATTTCATGGCGCATAGTACTAGAGAAGGAGAAGAGACGAGAAACAGTCTTTTACTTGGAGGGCATATTCCTCATCCAAAAGGCACATTCTTTATCCATAAGGTGTATTTCCTCCCATTTTTCCATAACGAACAATCGAGAGCCTAAAAATTATATCTAAGACTTCACAAATTTAAAACTTCAGCCACTAGAAAGCCAACACCTCCCAGAGTTCACATGGATTCGTCTTTAAGTAATCAATAATCCATTAGAGCTAACGCCTCTAAGGAGTCAACATTCAATTTGAGCTAATCCCTCTCATAAATCACATTTGCTCAACCTCTCATGAGCACTATCTATCCTTTCTTTATAAAATGGCTCAACCTCTCATGAGCACTATCTATCCTTTCTTTATTAAAAAGGACATTTTGCTCCATTGAAGGGGCTTAATTTTAACACCCAGGAGATCTTCCTCACTTTAAATACCTAGAAAGCTTATTTGAAAGAAAAGAGACGTGCCTTGAAGCTCCACAAAGAAAGAAAAGCTTGACATTCTAGAGCCTTCATCAAGACAACCTAGAGTCTAAACCTAGACAGTCCTTTTGCTAGATCTTAGAATCAAGGGTCTTTCCCCTCTAATGGAGATGTAATAACGGTTGATCCATAAGGCAAACCAGAAGCAGTTTATTTTTAATAAAAATAGTGAATCTCTCTAGTCTACCCTTTCCAGGGAGTTTATTCTTTCCAATGCTACAGTAGCTTACTTTGTTTGCATGCCACCACCAATGTCATCTAAATTACTGTATTTTGTCATGGCAAAAAGAATTCAATATAATCATCCTAGATTCTTGACAAAGTTATGAACCACAAGCTGGATATGGAGCAGTACCACATGATTTAAGCTTTATTAATCATCAATGTGATTCCTTCATTGGAAGGCACAAGTGTAAGATCCAAGTTAATGCTTACACACATGCAAAGAATCTATACATGCAAACACATATATACGCTAAGAAATAAATAAATAAATGAAGACATGTGGACATCTGTAAATGCACAGACCTGCATTTGACTCTATTTACTAAATTGACAATGTATTGGACTTTCCTGGTCTCGGTGGACAGAGACATGTAATTGAAGAAACAAAATTTAAAATGAAGTCAAAGTAATGGAGCAACCTCGTGATATCAGCCAATCACTTAGCCAGTTAGAATATCCTATACAAGACATCTTCAGTAAAAGAAAAGTTGTTCTCAACGAAATAACCAATTGTAAAACTGTCCATGACTCCATGGTTAAATGTGAAATACAGAGAACATCAGATGACAGGAAGATCGATTTACCTAAATGTACCCATTCCAAAAACTTGAGGTATCATTGACATTAAAGTATCTTGTAGAGCTAACTTTGGAATTTGTCATTAAATTTTTTACCTTTACTTCAGTTGAACTAACTTGCAAGACAAGCAAGGTTGCCTATCATGTGGTGCAAGGTTAGAAATCCAAATCCAAGAGTTCTTCAGAGGCACATTATGTATAGAACTTGCAAAAGGAAAAGCATCGAAAATTGTTTGAAGAGTCATAGAAGGTAATGATGAAACACTTTGGATTCAATATGGAGGTCATAGATTAGGTTGCCTTAAGTCCAACATTAGGAGCAGTAGCTGCAGTACCACCATTGGAACAACCTGTAGAAAAAGAGACTAGGTAAACTGTGTGATTTCCTATTTGTAAATGCATAAAGGAAGCATTATCCCCATTCTTGCCCCTGCATTACTACTGTTACAACATCACCTTTCAGAGTTCTAGAGAACTGCACACACATATTCCAAGTACCTGAACAAGGAAAACTGCATTAAATGACGGAACTGCTACTCTAAAACAAACCTACATATCAATAAAGACATACTGCCAAGTTTCCTAAAGAAATCATTGTTGAAATCATTGTTGGACATAAGGAGAGTGCAGTTTAGTCCGCACAAAGCTTTCAGTGTTGTGTCCGCCAGCACGTTGAAAATATTTAAGAGATGTGCATGTCTAAGGTTGTTCAAAGAAAGTAAATGGTAGTAACATAATGCATTAGCCAGCTGAAAGGAACCCAAAAGTATGGATCTAAGAGTAGAATATGTGGGCATCAAATAAGCATTATATCTTGAAGCACTTCAAATATACTTTTGCTTCATTATTCTGTCTTTCAACTAGTTTATGCTTACAACAATTAAGTATGATACACAAATAATTATTCAGACATAGTTGAGATAATGAGCCTACAGAACTCTGAGATCTGATTTCATGCCCAAGGGATAAATAGCCAGAAAACAATTCATGGAAGAAGCTTTGGTTTATAACTAAATTGGCTGACTCTTGCGAGTCATGTGACCAAAAGTCTGACATGAGCTAAAATTCAAGTATCAGAGCTCCTCTCAAAATGGAAAAGAGGCTTGGTTTGTTCTTTTTCTAGGGACAAGCTTCAAGGATCGTACACTTGACCTTCTGCTAACAAACCACTAACATCTGTCACTAAGCTAAAGCCTAATGGACGAAAAGCTACTCCCCTCTATTTTTCCATCTTTCAGTTGGGATTTAGAAGCATCTAATCACATATTTGTAGCAATTGAGGACTTCACATTACTGGAAATTTGGCTCCATGAAGCAACTAAGTTTTCAAGACCCCAGTGTTTTTAAGTAAAAAAATTTCTATTCATTGATCTGGGATGTGATAAATATAATTATATTGATCAAAGACTCACCATCATACCTGATGAGTGAATACGCGGGCCATAATGATATCGTTGTAACCTGAAAGAACTCGAGCAATATCACGAGTCTCCTCCCGTTTACCCATCTGGATATCATCAGGACCTAGATAAATTGAATGGCCACCCAACAAGAAAAAACCTGTCTCAAATGAGACTCTAGTTCTCATGGATGGTTTCGTGAAGATCATTGCCATTGACTTCCCTTTAAATGGGAGGAAATTTCTATCCCCTGACTTTAGCTTTGCCTTGACCTCTGAAGCACATTGGAGAATCTTCATTATTGTTTCTTTATCGAAATCACTGATGTGAATGAAATCTTTATGGCCTGTCTTTTCTGAAGGATGGAAAGAAAGAGGAGGAAAAGAGAGAGGAAAATAGATATGCATGAGTTAGTAAGTCTTTCATTTTTAAGGAGCACAAGATTTCAGCAGTCGAATGCATGAATTAGTAAGTCTTTCATTTTAAGGAGCACAAGATTTCTGCAGTTTGCAATATCCCTGCTATAATTGAAGCTTTAAAGTGTTTCAGTAAATTAAAAAAAAAATCAATGAGAGAGACTTTTAAACCAGGCATCAGAGGAAACCTCCAAATACATAGCATGATCACATGTACCCTACTTCAGCTGTTTACAGCAGAGAAACATTTCACATATGCATAAAAGGTAATATCAAAATATATGGCAGGTAAGGTGCACACTACTTCAACTGTTTATAATTCCCTACTCCAATTGAACATGCATAAGAGGAATCCAAAACATCAATGAGGTAAGGTAAGCACTGAGATTGTTTTCCATCCTCCTGCTCTGACAGAAACCTTAACGTCATGCATAAGAGAAAATCTCCAAAATCCACATGGCTACAAAAGGGGCACACTGCTTTAACTGTTTGATGTTTTCCTCCCCAGGGAGACTTTTAAGCCATGCATAGGACGACATATATACATGGCCACAGTTCAGGATTTGATATGCAGAATATAAAAAGTTATCAAGTGCTTAATTATTAACAAACCCACCCCAATCGCCGCCAAAAAAAAAAGAAAAGAGAAAACGATGAAATCTCTTCTAGTTAGGTGTCTTTGATTCTAATCATTCCTGCCTAGAAATTACAAAAAAATAGTTACCCACTAATAACGAGGCAGAAAAAATTCTCCTGTACTGTCAATTTGATATTGTGAATACAGAAATTTTTTTCTAGAAGACATAGAATAGCTGTAAACAATGAAAGAAAAATAAAAAGTCGTTACTATGCAGGCATCATTCTTTCCAGTCATCGTAAGATACCTTTTTCTCTTTGAGGGAACATTGTAAGAACCTTTTCTTAATATTTTTGTCTCATTAAAAATCCATGGAAAAGTATCAGCAACTTGTTCCTCGTAAATGATTGCTAGTATGTGGCCAAGTTTGGGTTCTCAATGCCTAAGGATGATGAATCAGACACAATTACTTGAATGGAATTGGCACATAGAGGGTATATCCTCTATGAGTCACTAGAGGGAACGATGTGAATGACAAAAATAATTAGCAAACCAAAGAACAAGGTAGAAGGAAGAAGGGTGAAGAGTTAGATTGTAGTCTGATGTTTTTTTTTTTGGGGAAGTTAGTCTATGGTCTGATGGTTTGTGTTGTTTGGTCTCCACATTTGGCCAGATTGGCATTTGCACCAGAAGAAGTGATCTCAGTGTGTGCCACAAAATTTTATAGGTGACCTAAGAGAGGTCATAGCAAGATGTTGTGGAAGTGATAAAGTTTGGTTTTTTTGCTAGCCATGGTCATCTTGTGAGTTATTGGGGTTCGAGGAGACAGTTACGGACTCCAAAATGTACTAACCTAACTGTCGAGGGATGCTTTAACTTCAGATTAATTTAATGGGAGTCCATTTGGGAACCTTGGTCCTTCAATAATTGGAAAATTATATGATATAGTTCTCATGGGATACTCAAGTCCTTAGCAGGTACTTCCGACTCAATTGTGGCTGAGATAAAATCAACCTTCTAATTTATTTCACTTCTTCCTCAGCTTCTTTGTTATACAAAGGCCCACTCCTTGCCATTAAATCGACAAAGAAAAAGGCAGGATATGCAATAGCTAACACAAAAGAGATTTCCTAGTTTTGTGGAATGCATCCAGATGTCTTGTTTCCATGTGCAGAGAGAAGTTCACAGGCTGGCACACTCCCTTGCTTGGGAGGGTCCCACTTCATCCGGAAAACTTTTACAACTCCATGTCTTGTCTTATAGGATATCTGCTGAAGGTTGAGTTCCGATAGCAGCTAAATATATCTTCTATTTTATAGTTGTTATCTATCAAGTACGGAGGGCTATACAAAATTAAGATTAAAACTTAACCAGGCAGCTAAATCTGGAATACAGCTAAGGAAACTAGCTAAACAAATAATTGCATTAAATAAGAGGCAGTTCTAAGCAGCTAATGACAGAACTAAATGGAATAGTATAATCCCAAATTTCTGGTCAATCAGCATTTCTGCAACGGAACTAGAAAGAGGAATGCCATTAAAGGTTCCAAAAGCAATACTAAATCAGAAAGTAAGTACAGAAAAAAGACAAGAAATGTTGGTAAAGAAGCATTATCATCTTCAATTGAGCCTTATCCTATCAATTTGGGATTAGCTATACAAATCATGTCCCGCCATTCTGCTCTATCAAGGGTCATACCCTCAATCAGACCATAAGGCACTATATCTCTTAACAATACTTCCATCCATGTTCTTTTGGGACTTCTCCGTACCCTTTTAGAGCCTTCCACTTGAACCAAATCGCGCCTCCTAACCGGTGTTATTCTAGGTTGACACTGCATATGGCCAGCCCATCTAAGTCTACTTACCCTCATCATATCGCCTACTGAAACCACCCCTAAAATCCCTCAGATGAATTCATTCTGAACTCTATCCTTTCTTGTCTTGCCACTCATCCATCTCAACATCCTCATCTCAACTACACTCATTCTATAGATATGTATTTTCTTTACCACTCAACATTTCGTCCCATAAAGCATGGCTGGTCTTACAACAGTTCTATAAAACTTCCCCTTCAATTTCATGGGTATGCAACGATCACATAAAACTCCAAAAGGCATCCCTAAAGTTCCAAATTTGCGTCGCCGTCCTCTCTAGTTTTAGCAATCAAAACTATGTCATCCATGTGGTCGGGCTTGATTTCTCATCGTCCCGGATATGGGTGACTCGGTCGAAAGAATCCTCTCTTGAACAACCGCGGGGCCATGCACGTGTGCGTACCTATGCTTGTAGTGCGGATAGGAACCAACAAAGAGAGAGACTTTAATCGACAAAGAAGCGCTCGAGCACCTAGCTCGCCGTTTGGGGTCTGGGGATAAGCCCCGGCAAATGCCCTCTTAGATCAATTTGTGAAAGCCCTCTAGCTGTCCAGCAGCTCGGTTTGTACTTGGCCCCCTCTTGAAAACTTAACACCTCATCTAGTAATCTCCTTTTAAGAAACTTCTGATGGAGTTCGTAAAGGGTACACTCCTCTTGAATGTACCTCTTGGCAAATGAGTGGCTCTAAATGGTTTAGAGATGAGAGAGAAGAAAGTCTCTCACAATCTGAACACTGTGTGACTCGGAGGTTAGAGCAGTGAGAGGGTCAAAATTCTAAGAAAGCCAACTTAGGATGACTCCAACTCGAGTAAATGGGTGCAAGAGAAGCATGCCTCTTATGACTTAAATTCACTGTACGAAAAGGTAGTTAGAGCAACAATCCCAGAATTAGGACCCTAAAATACTACCTCATAATGCTATCAGGTTAAGTGTTTTAGGCAATGAGAGAAGCAATCAATGGAGAAGTTGAAATAAGAAGATGATGGAATGGAAACGTAAATGAAGGATTAGAAGGGTGTGGTTTAGGGAAGAGAGGATGACAAAATGTGGATAGTTATGGGTTGGTTAGAGACTACAGGGGGGATAACCACGGGCAGAGAGAACACAAGGTTAGGCGCGAGTAGGCGGGTTGGATGATAGCGTGGGTGCAGGAGGCTGGATAATGGCATTGGTATGAATATAAAAAATAGGCGCAGGAGCAAGAGAGTGTGGGCATGAAAATGGGTAAGCGTTTTAGGTGTGGGTGTGGGTATAAAGGTGGATATGAGCGAAGGGATGCAACAGTGTTGTGCGCGGGTGTAAGGGCGAATGTGAGTAAAGAGAAGCAACAATGTTGGGCGTGGGTGGAGATGCGCACAAGCTTAAGCACGGGAAGAGGTGCATTGAATTAGACGCGGGCAAAAGTGCACTGGGATTGAGTGCGGACAGAGGTGCACTGGGTTAGGCGCGGACAGAGGTGTGCTGGGATTGAGCACGAGCAGAGGTGTGCTGGGTTAGCAGAAGTGTGTCGGGATGGAACGCGGAAAGAGGCGCATTGGGTTAAGCGCGACAAGAGGTGCACTAGGATTGAGCTCGGGCAGAGGTGCGCTGGGTTAGGCGTCGACAAAGGTGTGTTGGGATTGAGCACGGGCAGAGGTGTGTTGGGTTAGGCACAAGCAGAAGTGCGTCAGGATTGAGCACGGGCAAAGGGGTGCTGGGTTAGGTGAGGACAGAGGTGCGCTGGGATGGAGCTTGGGCAGAGGTGTGCTGGGTTAGGCGCAGGCAGAAGTGTGCTGGGATTGAGCACTGGCAGAGGTGTGCTGAGTTAGGCGCGGGCAGAAGTGCGCCAGGATTGAGTGCGGGCAAAGGTGTGCTGGGTTAGGCGTGGGCAGAGGTGGGTCAGGACCACGGGCAAAGGTGTGTTGGGTTAGGTGCGAGCAAAGGTGTGCTGGGTACGAGCGGGCAAAGGTGCGCTAGGTTCGAGGGTAAGACAAGAGGAATAGGTAAAGGAAGCCGGGCCCGCCCTAGGTGCGGGTCCGTGATTTCAGACGATAGAGAATGGGGGGCTAGAGAAGAAAAGGAAAGAGGAAAGAAAGAAGAGGCATGGGCCCGCCTTGAACTCATGCAACGAAGAGAGAGAAAGTGAGATGAGAAGAGAGAAAAAAAAAGAAAGAGAGAGAGAAGAAAAAGAGAAGGAAGAGAGAGAATGAAGAAAGAAGAGAGAGGAATGTAGAGGAGAGAGAATAGACCTAGGATGGGCTTGAGCCTAGGTGCGCATCCATGGGCCTCCTTTGCATACATAGCCTTGGGTTTGAGTCAAGGTTAAGGTCTAGGTGTGGTGTATGGTGGTCTAGGATTTATGGAGTAATGTGTCGTGTAGGGAATAGGCTTTGGTGTATGGAATGGGCTTTGGTGTATGGTGGTCTAGGGGTATTTTCTCTCTCTAGGAAAATGTTTCTCTCTCCTCTCCTTTTGGTCTTGAATTTGAAAGCAAAGCACAAGAACA